TTTGGTCGTGGCACCACGTGCACGCACAAGGACTAGGAGCACGCGTTTGCTTCATATTTTCAGCATCAGCGCCACGAGGCAAGATAACTGTACGGGTTTCCTAAAGCAAATGGCAGTTTGGTTATGGAAAGATTACAAACCGCTAACTGAAATTTATATTGGGCAAATAGTAGGTTGTCTATGGAGAGAATATCAGTCTGTGATGGTCTTTAACATTATGGTTGCAGTTACTTTAATCGGATTCCCCTGTGCAATGTTATCAAAGAGTTGATCGCTTCGATATCTGCGCTATTAAATTTGGTGTATAATGCATATATATCATTTGATAAGAGCCCTTGCTGAAGGATATGGCATCTACATGGATAGCACCGATATCCCACAATATTTTCTTTGCGTTTTTTCCTTCTACTTCTACCTCTGAATTTGTCCTGCCTGTGGTTTCTATTTGCGTTAAGATACTACCTGATCGCACCCGTACTTCATGTCGATGGAGTTGTGGTGAGATTCACTGAGAGCAATTTACCCCTTGTATTATGAGTTAAACCCTCACTGATAAATCAAATAGGGCTACACTTCTAATTCCTGAATCGAATATCTTCAAGCACAACCTATTTATGTAGATCTACTTTTCTTCACATTATCCTATCATTGGTATTTGGAGTATAGCCTGTACTAGCATTTCACAGGATCGGATTCGCAAACAATCGTAATATGGTTATTAATGGGTTTGCATGAATAGGAACCAATTTCAATATTGACATACGCTTCCTCCGCCCATTATATTTGCTTAAATTCATTGCTGCCTTCTACTTGGAACGTAATCTACAAAGAACAATGCGAATTAGAACGCGACGACTAATCTAAATTGGGTAAGCCTGACTAGCATTAATCATGCCTTAGCAGATCGCTCTAGAGAAAAATGATTAGTACAGGTCAATCTTTGCCTTCATCGTGCATTATTCGTACCGATTTCTCCAAAGCGGAGCACAATGTCTCACAGATCTGCGCACACTTCTAATCCTCCTGTGTGCTTACCTTGCCCCATCCACACAAAATAGCTGCTAGCGTACCTGCCTGCACACATGCATCCACGCATGCGCGCGGTGGATGTGATAGTGTGATGAGCACTGCAGATGTCAGTAACTAGGCCTGCCTCCATGTGCCACTTTCATGGCAATGATTGCTCTCACTTACAATTTTCCTACCTCTAACAAGTTGACGCTAGTTTGCATGAAATATATGCCAACAGTCAATGGATTATGTAATTACTTTCAATCTTTAATATTATGTTTTGCACTCTTGATCGTAAGAAGTTATGTGGTTGTGGAAAGGTGCGCTTGTTGTCAAGCATGTGCTCATCAACTTCCCTTTACTTCATCGACTTGTTTAAATGGTTTCATAACTTCACACCTGTCTTGGCCCTTGGTAACAATAATGTGGTTGCACCACTGCGACGAGCCTTCATATGCTTCGTACAATGATGTTAAATCAATCAGCAGCAATGCGTTGTTCGCTCCAATAACGAGGAACCCCAAAAAGCTGCTTCAACTAGACGCGTCAGATTTATGCTTAGAGGCAAACTGACGCCTGTACAAACAGAGATACATTTGCAAGGAAAGTGCCATATGTTTTTTTTATACTAAAGTCGAATCGCCCAGATAGCAGGTCTGTTATCTTCACCCCAATTTGCATGTCGCATCACGTACTTGGCATTGTTACTCATGTGGGCGTGAATGCGATGCAAAATATGATGATTGTAAGGAAAATACGTAGGGCACGTCGGGATTCGTGGTCCTTTTAAGGGAATTTACAATTGTGCTACAACTTAGAAAACAGGGAATTGTAGCAATCAGCATGGCCATATCCTTGATTTCTTGGCGATTTTTGACACATGACCATGTCGAGTTCGCCATGTTAAATGCGAAATAACTTGATGTATGCAGCATCAAATGCTGGTATTGCAAACTCATTTATGCGTTAATGATATGCAAGGTGTAAAGATCATAATGATATCCGTGGCAGACGCAATGGGTATACTGACGCTAATAACACCGATCGGATGGCATTCATTGATAAAACGTAAATCTGTTGATTGAATTGATGTGTCGACACGATTGAGCGTAAAACCGAGCCCTTCAGCAGTCACTAATGGAGTAGTTGTACACCAGTGCTCGGTATTTATCATAAATTCAGGATTGAGGGACGACACTGTGGTTGTGACGGTACACTCAATCCTCTGCCTGTGGTGTTCTTAAACGAGGATGGGTTTAACCAACTGATAACAACCCTCCCTCTATTTATTTAGAGCTACAAAGTGTAAAGCACCACGATGATGCTCGTGATGCTTCTTATCATTCTGTGAATATGGTGAAAATATTTAGTAGTTAGATCTGCATTCAAAAGCGGGGATTTGCGGAAAGCATTTAACTCAACCTTCTACTAAATAACAATCAGTACTGTGTGCTTTAACAATGCGATTTCGAACCAAATTAGAGTAAACTCGTTTTGCTGCGCATCCCTTATGGCGCAAGCACACACATACAGTATTTTTTAACGGCCTTTCGCTGCAGTTTTTGCAATACAAATATCAAGTTTTTGAATTTGGTGTCAAAAAATGTGACCTTTGATTTTAACTTTACCCCACTTTGACTAATATGGAGTAGATCCGCCACCACCACACCTTTAAGCTGTTAAGCTGGTCGAAATTATAAATGGAATTACCTGTGTTAGGCATTGCTGTCCATAAAACATTAAATACCCACGCAGTCTGTTAACGGTTCCAAAACGGTTGGTCTTGCATAGCTACTTATATTCCTCATTACTGGAGCACTTTAAGCAGAACCATTTCCTTTCACTCATCATCTCAAAGGATTAACGGAAAATTACTCAGTTGAACTGAATTTTAGTGCAAATAGCCAATACACTGGCCTTTAAATTTCAGGTAAAATGGTTTTGTCATAAAAATCCCTGGCTGATTTTGAGCAAATTTAGCATTTTTGGATTCGTTGACTCATTTCTGTGGATCACTGAGCCGGAGACAGTAGGAGGAGCCAGGTAACGGTGTCGTAGGAAGATGAAGGAGAAAAAGAAGTTCTTTGAGTTGGTAGGTAGAAGAGTGGAGGAGGGCCTACACACAAAGAGCAAATTACACGTTTACAGGTTAACCCGCCTTGACTTGCGCTCAGTCCAGACGTATTTTGTTAGTTCAAAGCATGCATTTTAACAGCGATCGCACCACTTTCTTTAGGTATCCGTAAAGGAGTTCCCACAAGAAAGTGTAGGCATTGGCATCATGAGCGATGTACCATCCGCAAAGGAATGAAACCGATATGTTTGGATTATAATAAACCATTTTTAAACCTTGCTAAAGGAAAACAGAAGCAGACACAAGATACCAAAACAGTTGCTCCTATAATCCTTAATTTTTGAAATATATTAACATGGATTGATCACGAATCTGCCCAGAAATTTTTGCAACACTTTCCAAATCCGACACTTAGGCTGCGCAAGACCTTTGAGATTTTGGGGATGCGCTTGACACCTAAACATGTACTAGGTTATGGATAAGCTAAAAGATTTCGTCACAGTTTACATGAACTATTAAAGGTATTTACGGAGGATGCATAATATAAGGTTAAAAGTTAAGCCTTGGATGGAGCAGCATTGCGCTCATTACAGTGTACAGTCCATACATCATCACCATAGCCATTCAAGGTGTTCACAAGTAGTAAAACAAGAGTGCTAAAGTCTAGTCTCTTGACAAATGCGGATGTAGCAACCGAGAGTGTCAGGGAGTAGGGAATGCAACTAGAAGATGGAACTATAAGTATTCTGCATCGTACAGAAGCGCCTAGGACTATTATATGTATTAGGCATAAGCTATACTACGACAAACATGGTCATAGGCATAATGAATCCTCTCATGTAATCGGGCTAGTCGTGTTGCGAGAACAGTTATTGTTCCTGCTGTTACATGGGCCTTTAGCGAAAAAGTATGGCAAAAAGTCATCTCGACGTAGCTCTATCCAAAGGTAACCAAATGTCATAAAATCTACTCGACTGTGCCAATGCAAGTTAAAAATAACACACTAGCCTAGCTCAGGTTCAACAGTTATTCGACGGAGAGACGTTAATGACACTTGCTCACTCAAGCTAACACCTTTCAAGTAAAGGCCACACTGCGAACACCGAAGCCTCACATTCGACTACGACTGCGTGCCTGTGACAAAATTTTATCAAATTAACTCGACTGTGCTAATGGAAGTCGAAAATAATACACTAGCCTAACTCAGGTCTAACAGTCATTCGGCGGAGGGACGTCAATGACACCTGCTCAGTCAAGCCATTATCAACTAACGAAAGTTCGCTCTCTCATCACTTGAGGCCTTCATTTGAGTAGGATCTGCAGGCCTGTAACGAAATTTTATAAAAATTCACTTGACGTAGGCTCATCCTTTTCTTTCTTCTTGTCTTTTCCTTCCCCACTAGTCTTGGATTCAGTAGATGTGGAATAGTGCTTTGCATCAGGGATATCCCTGCCAACGGCTCATAGAAAAGTGTATTAGCTAAACAATTTTTTCACCTGGCAATCATAAACACTGCATAGGCGGATTAGGTCGACGCATCGGCCAGAGCCGAGGACTCACTTATTTTTGGTCGTGGCACCACGTGCACGCACAAGGACTAGGAGCACGCGTTTGCTTCATATTTTCAGCATCAGCGCCACGAGGCAAGATAACTGTACGGGTTTCCTAAAGCAAATGGCAGTTTGGTTATGGAAAGATTACAAACCGCTAACTGAAATTTATATTGGGCAAATAGTAGGTTGTCTATGGAGAGAATATCAGTCTGTGATGGTCTTTAACATTATGGTTGCAGTTACTTTAATCGGATTCCCCTGTGCAATGTTATCAAAGAGTTGATCGCTTCGATATCTGCGCTATTAAATTTGGTGTATAATGCATATATATCATTTGATAAGAGCCCTTGCTGAAGGATATGGCATCTACATGGATAGCACCGATATCCCACAATATTTTCTTTGCGTTTTTTCCTTCTACTTCTACCTCTGAATTTGTCCTGCCTGTGGTTTCTATTTGCGTTAAGATACTACCTGATCGCACCCGTACTTCATGTCGATGGAGTTGTGGTGAGATTCACTGAGAGCAATTTACCCCTTGTATTATGAGTTAAACCCTCACTGATAAATCAAATAGGGCTACACTTCTAATTCCTGAATCGAATATCTTCAAGCACAACCTATTTATGTAGATCTACTTTTCTTCACATTATCCTATCATTGGTATTTGGAGTATAGCCTGTACTAGCATTTCACAGGATCGGATTCGCAAACAATCGTAATATGGTTATTAATGGGTTTGCATGAATAGGAACCAATTTCAATATTGACATACGCTTCCTCCGCCCATTATATTTGCTTAAATTCATTGCTGCCTTCTACTTGGAACGTAATCTACAAAGAACAATGCGAATTAGAACGCGACGACTAATCTAAATTGGGTAAGCCTGACTAGCATTAATCATGCCTTAGCAGATCGCTCTAGAGAAAAATGATTAGTACAGGTCAATCTTTGCCTTCATCGTGCATTATTCGTACCGATTTCTCCAAAGCGGAGCACAATGTCTCACAGATCTGCGCACACTTCTAATCCTCCTGTGTGCTTACCTTGCCCCATCCACACAAAATAGCTGCTAGCGTACCTGCCTGCACACATGCATCCACGCATGCGCGCGGTGGATGTGATAGTGTGATGAGCACTGCAGATGTCAGTAACTAGGCCTGCCTCCATGTGCCACTTTCATGGCAATGATTGCTCTCACTTACAATTTTCCTACCTCTAACAAGTTGACGCTAGTTTGCATGAAATATATGCCAACAGTCAATGGATTATGTAATTACTTTCAATCTTTAATATTATGTTTTGCACTCTTGATCGTAAGAAGTTATGTGGTTGTGGAAAGGTGCGCTTGTTGTCAAGCATGTGCTCATCAACTTCCCTTTACTTCATCGACTTGTTTAAATGGTTTCATAACTTCACACCTGTCTTGGCCCTTGGTAACAATAATGTGGTTGCACCACTGCGACGAGCCTTCATATGCTTCGTACAATGATGTTAAATCAATCAGCAGCAATGCGTTGTTCGCTCCAATAACGAGGAACCCCAAAAAGCTGCTTCAACTAGACGCGTCAGATTTATGCTTAGAGGCAAACTGACGCCTGTACAAACAGAGATACATTTGCAAGGAAAGTGCCATATGTTTTTTTTATACTAAAGTCGAATCGCCCAGATAGCAGGTCTGTTATCTTCACCCCAATTTGCATGTCGCATCACGTACTTGGCATTGTTACTCATGTGGGCGTGAATGCGATGCAAAATATGATGATTGTAAGGAAAATACGTAGGGCACGTCGGGATTCGTGGTCCTTTTAAGGGAATTTACAATTGTGCTACAACTTAGAAAACAGGGAATTGTAGCAATCAGCATGGCCATATCCTTGATTTCTTGGCGATTTTTGACACATGACCATGTCGAGTTCGCCATGTTAAATGCGAAATAACTTGATGTATGCAGCATCAAATGCTGGTATTGCAAACTCATTTATGCGTTAATGATATGCAAGGTGTAAAGATCATAATGATATCCGTGGCAGACGCAATGGGTATACTGACGCTAATAACACCGATCGGATGGCATTCATTGATAAAACGTAAATCTGTTGATTGAATTGATGTGTCGACACGATTGAGCGTAAAACCGAGCCCTTCAGCAGTCACTAATGGAGTAGTTGTACACCAGTGCTCGGTATTTATCATAAATTCAGGATTGAGGGACGACACTGTGGTTGTGACGGTACACTCAATCCTCTGCCTGTGGTGTTCTTAAACGAGGATGGGTTTAACCAACTGATAACAACCCTCCCTCTATTTATTTAGAGCTACAAAGTGTAAAGCACCACGATGATGCTCGTGATGCTTCTTATCATTCTGTGAATATGGTGAAAATATTTAGTAGTTAGATCTGCATTCAAAAGCGGGGATTTGCGGAAAGCATTTAACTCAACCTTCTACTAAATAACAATCAGTACTGTGTGCTTTAACAATGCGATTTCGAACCAAATTAGAGTAAACTCGTTTTGCTGCGCATCCCTTATGGCGCAAGCACACACATACAGTATTTTTTAACGGCCTTTCGCTGCAGTTTTTGCAATACAAATATCAAGTTTTTGAATTTGGTGTCAAAAAATGTGACCTTTGATTTTAACTTTACCCCACTTTGACTAATATGGAGTAGATCCGCCACCACCACACCTTTAAGCTGTTAAGCTGGTCGAAATTATAAATGGAATTACCTGTGTTAGGCATTGCTGTCCATAAAACATTAAATACCCACGCAGTCTGTTAACGGTTCCAAAACGGTTGGTCTTGCATAGCTACTTATATTCCTCATTACTGGAGCACTTTAAGCAGAACCATTTCCTTTCACTCATCATCTCAAAGGATTAACGGAAAATTACTCAGTTGAACTGAATTTTAGTGCAAATAGCCAATACACTGGCCTTTAAATTTCAGGTAAAATGGTTTTGTCATAAAAATCCCTGGCTGATTTTGAGCAAATTTAGCATTTTTGGATTCGTTGACTCATTTCTGTGGATCACTGAGCCGGAGACAGTAGGAGGAGCCAGGTAACGGTGTCGTAGGAAGATGAAGGAGAAAAAGAAGTTCTTTGAGTTGGTAGGTAGAAGAGTGGAGGAGGGCCTACACACAAAGAGCAAATTACACGTTTACAGGTTAACCCGCCTTGACTTGCGCTCAGTCCAGACGTATTTTGTTAGTTCAAAGCATGCATTTTAACAGCGATCGCACCACTTTCTTTAGGTATCCGTAAAGGAGTTCCCACAAGAAAGTGTAGGCATTGGCATCATGAGCGATGTACCATCCGCAAAGGAATGAAACCGATATGTTTGGATTATAATAAACCATTTTTAAACCTTGCTAAAGGAAAACAGAAGCAGACACAAGATACCAAAACAGTTGCTCCTATAATCCTTAATTTTTGAAATATATTAACATGGATTGATCACGAATCTGCCCAGAAATTTTTGCAACACTTTCCAAATCCGACACTTAGGCTGCGCAAGACCTTTGAGATTTTGGGGATGCGCTTGACACCTAAACATGTACTAGGTTATGGATAAGCTAAAAGATTTCGTCACAGTTTACATGAACTATTAAAGGTATTTACGGAGGATGCATAATATAAGGTTAAAAGTTAAGCCTTGGATGGAGCAGCATTGCGCTCATTACAGTGTACAGTCCATACATCATCACCATAGCCATTCAAGGTGTTCACAAGTAGTAAAACAAGAGTGCTAAAGTCTAGTCTCTTGACAAATGCGGATGTAGCAACCGAGAGTGTCAGGGAGTAGGGAATGCAACTAGAAGATGGAACTATAAGTATTCTGCATCGTACAGAAGCGCCTAGGACTATTATATGTATTAGGCATAAGCTATACTACGACAAACATGGTCATAGGCATAATGAATCCTCTCATGTAATCGGGCTAGTCGTGTTGCGAGAACAGTTATTGTTCCTGCTGTTACATGGGCCTTTAGCGAAAAAGTATGGCAAAAAGTCATCTCGACGTAGCTCTATCCAAAGGTAACCAAATGTCATAAAATCTACTCGACTGTGCCAATGCAAGTTAAAAATAACACACTAGCCTAGCTCAGGTTCAACAGTTATTCGACGGAGAGACGTTAATGACACTTGCTCACTCAAGCTAACACCTTTCAAGTAAAGGCCACACTGCGAACACCGAAGCCTCACATTCGACTACGACTGCGTGCCTGTGACAAAATTTTATCAAATTAACTCGACTGTGCTAATGGAAGTCGAAAATAATACACTAGCCTAACTCAGGTCTAACAGTCATTCGGCGGAGGGACGTCAATGACACCTGCTCAGTCAAGCCATTATCAACTAACGAAAGTTCGCTCTCTCATCACTTGAGGCCTTCATTTGAGTAGGATCTGCAGGCCTGTAACGAAATTTTATAAAAATTCACTTGACGTAGGCTCATCCTTTTCTTTCTTCTTGTCTTTTCCTTCCCCACTAGTCTTGGATTCAGTAGATGTGGAATAGTGCTTTGCATCAGGGATATCCCTGCCAACGGCTCATAGAAAAGTGTATTAGCTAAACAATTTTTTCACCTGGCAATCATAAACACTGCATAGGCGGATTAGGTCGACGCATCGGCCAGAGCCGAGGACTCACTTATTTGCAATGGCGCCTTCAACACCACCCTTGATCTAGTACCTGTAGGTCACGTAGTGACCCGAGTTCAGAGTATTGCCATGGTGCACAACTACAGAGCGCAGAATATAACGGAGGGATGTGTCACGACGGTAG